ACTGCTGTTTCGTCAATTAAAAGACAGGGCTTAGATATGATATTTATACATTTATTTCACAACCTATAGAACTAAAAGATAAACTGTCACACTGTAATTTCTATTCAGCGTGTCATTTTCAGTGAGCTTGGCATTTGCCCCGTGACCAGCGGTGTGATTAGGCTACAATAACAAGCACCGTGTTTAACTACATCATCAGTAACACAGGTCTAGTTTTGATGAATGTCGAAACCATTGTCTCGTGAAGAAGTCTCATGTTCAAAAATAAAGCAAATTTTTTAATTACGTCGTGCAGGGGCAGTTTTAGGAATTCCACATAGCAACACAAGGTATCCTATTCAAAACACAAGAAAAGCCATTAGTGCTGGAAACAGACCGATTACACTGAGAGACTCCTTTCTCTCTTTGTACTGACGGCCATAAGCAAATAATAACACAGAACTCTAGGATTACATATTTAAATGTCAAAGTCTGTCACGTGTGTTTTGATTTTTCTAAATATTACTCTAAGGCCGAGTGAGGGTTCATCTAATCTCACTGGTCTGCCGTCGCTTTGTTCAATAAAAAAAAAAAAAAAAAAAAAAAACAACATGTCTATCTAAAATATAGTGGAGGATGTGTGAGGTAAGGCTTCACATGTAGTCACATGTAGCACACTAAACATTTATCAACTCAACAACATACACTGTTCCCACAAGGCGTCAGTGGGGCTGCATAGCATGGGTCACTCATATGAGAGAGAGAGTAAGCTACAGGAGTCATTTAAATTAGCCCATCACACAGGATTACTTACTGACATTACAGCTGCATTTAGACAGGACTGCAGATTAACAGATCACATACAGTAAGTGACCTATTTTGTATTCAAAACAGCAAATCTCACAGAAAAGTGACATGTTTGCACGCCTGTGTTTTCCAATAACGACCCCAACGCTGTTTATGTGACACTGTGTTGTTATGTCTGACCTCATTCCACACTAAAATAATAATAACAATAACTTTATTGATATACTGGGTATATAGTGTGAGTGTGAGCCACTCACTTGCTCAGCAGATTCTCCAGAGGGGTGTCTTCTTGGTGAGCGCCCTTCGGGTGTTCACTGCTCACGATCACATTTGTTTGTGGAACAACACTAAACAAAAAGTTCCAAACACATTGGTTAACTGGCACACGTGAGCATGCCTTGCACTGTTTTTAGGTAATGTGGCTCTGCTGGCTGCTGTAATCACAATCAGCTTTGTAAAATGACTAAAAGGACAATTTTCTGCCTGAATGGAGACTATTTGCAATTGGTGCAAAATGCAATAGTGGGCAACACTTTATATCTTACCATCGCACTTTGTTCCACGTTTGAGTGGCACCCTGAGGAGACCCTGCAACCATAGGAACCTGGATAGGACTCTTTGCACACGGCACCATGCTGTCTAGTTTGCGTCCGAGGGCTTTGCATGTAGCATCGAGAGAATATAACTTTGATTCAATTCCCTCCAGCCGCTGGCTGATTGATGCGGTAAATGAGACCAACAGATTCTGGAAACAAAAATAAGATTTTGTAAGTGTCATTGAAGCAAGTCATATCCTCTTATTTGAATTATATAAAAACATATGAGCTATTGATGGAGTCTATTATACTGAGCTGTTACCTTAATAAAAGATATGTCTTGGCTGCTGTTGCTGTTGTTATTCTCCTGGCTGCTGCTTAATTTCCTTTTCTTCTTCTGAAGCCTCTCATCATCGTCTTCGTGATTGTCCAGCATGTCTGGCATGAATTAAATATAAAGACACTCTCAAACCAACAGCACAGCTTTCTTGTTAGAGCTCACTATGGGATGCCCAGATTGAAACTGTTCTCCTGCTCCAATCTCAGACATAGTATTGAGTATCTGATCCTCACCCCATACAGTGTTTATCCAGCAAATTCTAAATAATACAGTTGTAGAAAACACACTTAGCGTAAAGTAAGCTGACACTGATTGTCCATGTTTGATAGTGCCACACTTGCCCAACATGGGCCTGATAATATCTCCTCAAAAAGGCCGAGAATGAAAATATTCAATGTAAACAAAATTCCCTATACACTGATAAGAAAATATATAAAATAATAACTTTTCATATTGTGTCATAAGAATTTTACCTGTCTGGTCATCCGGGTTAAAGTCCTCCACTGTTATTTGCACAATATCATCCAACTCTTGTTCAGACATTGTTCACAACTGAAATAAGATAATTTGAAGAATTTAACAAGAAAGTAAAATATGTATTAACTGACATACTACGACAAGGCAGAATATCTTTCTGTTGCGTGTTGTTGTCTCTGCATTAATGAGGAATATGCACTTTAAAAACTACTATTTAAAAAACACATTTATCTATTATTTCCTTATGCTGACCACTTCCTTTCCTATACTGACCATCTATTTCTGCCATCTCTATGAATATTGCATGCAATATGTAATGTCAAATATTGTTAAGCAATTCTAAGTAATTTGTACATACTTGAGTCTATGCTTTTTGAGATGTATTTTGAGCTTTCATCTTGGTGCATCTAACATAAAAGCAAGAGTAGAAGTCGAATTTTATAGCTTCTAAAAATTGAGCATTTGTAGGATATTATAAAAATATACACTCATAATTGACTAAAGAAAGACTACTAATGCATGCTACAACAGTCACCTTATTGAATAATGCAAAAACCTTTCCCTAAAAGTTTATGAAGCACATGTAAGGATGCATTTTAACTACATCAATCACTTAAACTCTGACTCAAAGAGGAATTAATTTATTATGTACATGTACTGCATATGGCTCGTCTGCCACAGCATGTGTGGGAACCAGACAGGAGTGACAGTTGTGTTGTGGTGTGTGTGAGGGGGAAAGGGAGGGAAATACTAGGTAATACTGGGACATTATATGCCCACCTTATCCTGGGTCAATCCCTCTTTATATATCATTAATGTATGAATACATGGAGAAGATCGTGTAATTATGAATGAGAACAACTGACTTGAAACTGCAAAACCCCCTAGCATTTCATTAACTGACGGTCAATATTAGCTTCTTGAGCTAGCTCTAGCAGGTAAGGGGGTCGGGGTAGGATGACGTTATGATACAGCTGTTTTTGCAAAAATCCTGCTTCTCTAAGATTTAGCTAACTGAAGCTGCGTCATTGAAATAGCACGCGCAGCAGCAAAGTCTTGCTGGCCCTACTGAGTTAACTACGTTTGTATTGCTAACGCCACATTGCTCCACGTTTAGCGTTAGCTAGCTAACTGGGCGGGGGTCTATTTGACGGTGTACATTAAGTTAGCTATGGGTAACGTTAGCGTTGAGATACAACAAACCGATGAAATCAACTTTTAAACCTGACGTGTTAATACTTTCATTGAACGTGTCCTATCTAACGTTTTTACTGCTGGATTTCGGCAAAAATGTCCTATGTTGCACTCACGCTAGCTATATAGCCGGAGCACATGCTAGCTAATGTTAGCTAAGCTAGCACAACTCCAAAATCGGATTTGCAAGCTCGCGTGCTAACGTTAAAACCAAGGCAGAGGAAATTAGTTGGTGTCTAAGCTAGCGTGGTGGTTAGCATGCTAGTGGGGCCTAAAGGCCGCCCAAATGTAAAGCAACAAGCCTAAACTGTTCTAAGAAATAACAATTAAATATAATTTTGAATCAGCATCTCCCCCACTGCTGGGCACACAACACATGTACTGAGTAAGATTGGGTTATATTACCGTGTGAATGATGAATTCTCGTGTTGTTTGTAGAGATTCCGATAACGGCGTCGTTCCTCGCGAGAGATGAGTCCGTGCCTTCGTTTGTTCCTCACATGGACGGTTCCTCGCTCATTCAGGGGGGACCGAGAAAGCAGTCTGTTACTGTACAAACCCAGTAGAAACAACACGCAAACTTATCGGAGGATTTAACATCAACACATATTTTACTTATCGGTTTATTGGCATTCAGTTTAGTTCAGGTTTAAGCTGTTTAGCGAGTTAATTGTTTCAAAACGGTTTTAGAGAAAAACATTGTGCTGACTTTAATTTCTGAAAATAGGTATTTTTATTATGTTTTTGTGACTTTAGTCAATCTGAATATACTGGCGCCCTTGAATAAATTGTAAATTATGTAACGCCCAAAATCGCACTTGCAGGAAAATCATGTAATTGACCATGCAGTGTATGTTTAGGACCGATATTAGGTTGTTTGTTTTCGCTTTAGAAAGGGGCAAAAGGGAAAAATTACGAGCCAGCCAGGAGTCGAACCTAGAATCTTCTGATCCGTAGTCAGACGCGTTATCCATTGCGCCACTGGCCCGTGCCGTATAACGTTAATGACCCGGAACTACTTATTCGTGCACATAAGTGTGCCCTTTGACAATTGTTTTTTTTCATCGATCCCACATTTCTGTGAGCCCGAAAACGTTGATTGGTCAATTCTTGATTAATTCTTGGTTGCGATACGAGCGCTGATTGGCCACAACGATAGGTGATTGGCTGTCACAACCAACAATTAACTCGGTTACATTGACTTAATGAATGAGACTTGGCGTATGGTGTACAGGCGATGCCAAGTCAATCATGTAACTCTTCTCCACACTACTTGTGGATCTCTTGGTTCCTCCGGTCTGGTGCAACACTTATGTTCACTGCTGGTACTCTGCACAGCTACGGTTCTCAATAACAGGATACACCGCCCCAGCTGCTAACGTTATGGTGATCAAGAGTGGTCTACTTTCCGGTAATGTGAGCCCTTTGCTGTGGTCTAAAACTCACGGAGTCACGTGTTATCTTGCGCGTCTGATTAATTGCGGAACCTGGGTCACGTTTAAAACGGAAAGCTTCGTGGGAGGTGTCATTTTCTCTTTCAGCCGAGTCGCAATCCGGACACCGAGGCGACTACCATGACCTTCCGTGCCAAACAAACGTTCCTCTTTCTGACGTCTGTGTTATTTCTCCATGTCGCTGCTGACCTACATGGTAAGAAGGAGAAAAGTCGTTTATTTGCACAGTAACGACGACCAGCATGCATCTGACTGCTCTTTAAATCTGAATAGAAAAAGTTCTCTGAAGTTACATAATAATATATCATATCCTCTTCGAATGTATTTCTCATCGGAATGAATCTGAATCTGTTGTTCCTTGATGCCACTTGCTTGCAATTCCATCGCACCTGGATCGCAGTAATCTTTCACCTTCATATTCCCGGTGATGAGTGCGTCCAAAGGTGAGACACCTTTCACCGACTTCAACTCTGGCTAATCATTTCTTTGGTGACCTCGCCTTGGGATCGCACTGGGAATGATAGTGGGTGTAAAAACAAATGCTACACAATGCTGTAAAACCGCCCGAGTGAAGAAATGAATTACAGTATTTTCAAATCTATATTTCGAGGTAAATGTGTAACAATTATCACACTTGTCAGTTGCAACAAAAGCTAGAACTCAACCAACAACCACACATGAAGAATATATATTTGTTACTTTGACACATTTTTCCTGGGAACTCAAACTGATAAATTATTTTGATTATGATTTGGACTGGTCCCTAATATCCTGACAGCTCCAGAAGTGCACACGAAGCTCGGGGCACTCAGAGGCCAGTATGTGAGCGTGAAGGGGAAGGAGACCGGGGTCCATGCCTACCTGAGCATCCCATTTGCCAAGCCCCCCGTAGGCCCTGCTCTGAGACTGTCTGCACCCCAGCCTGTAGAGGGCTGGCAAGGAGTGAGAGACGCCACCCAGCAGCCAGCCATGTAAGGCCTTCTGTGCATCCGTTGTTGCATAACACACTTGGAGAACTTGCGTCAACTTCTCTCTGTAAAAAAAATCCTCTCTTTTTCAGGTGTGTTCAAGACAAACAGCTACTTATAGATCTGCTTGATAAACTCGGTGGCGTGTTGCTTGCTGTTCCAGACATTTCAGAGGACTGCCTTTACCTCAACATTTACATTCCTGCAAAGAAAGCTCTCAGTGCCAAGCTCCCAGTAAGTTCAAATGATGCTTTGGATGACTTTCGATGGTGTTCATGGAGGAGTTGGCGTGATTGCTTTTAGAAGAATCCACAATGGCAATATGAGTAATGATGCCCATATTTAGAACCAGACTGCAAAGAGACTGACGCTGATTACATCAGTCTTGTGTTTTAGTCGGATTAAAGTCTTTGTTTGATTGTGATCGGATAGAAAAAAAGTAAAAATGTGCATTATGTTCTGTGGAAAACGGCGTCTTTTTTTATTGCCTTACCAGGTCATGGTCTGGATCCATGGTGGAGGGTTCTCCATGGGGTCAGCTTCAATGTTTGATGGCTCTGCCCTGGCTGCTTACCAGGACGTGGTTGTGGTTCTGATCCAGTACCGCTTGGGAGTTCTGGGCTTTCTCAGGTAAAAACGACTTAACTTACTAAGCACAGGTAGACCGGACATGTTATTATTATATTCTAATGCTTTTGATCTGATCTGTGCCACACGTGAACAATAAGTCAAAACTGGGTCACTCTTACCAGCGGGTGTGGACTATAACTGTATGCTCTATCCAGCACTGGAGATGAGCACTTGTCGGGGAACTTTGGACTGTTGGACCAGGTGCAAGCTCTGAGGTGGATCCAGCAGCACATTCATAACTTTGGTGGAAACCCAGATTTAGTCACCATATTTGGGGAGTCTGCTGGTGGCATAAGTGTATCCCTCCTGGTAAGGATCAATCTGCAGATGAAGCACTTTAAAGAAATGGATTTGTCTTTGAAAGCATTGCACAGTTATGAAACTGCACAGTGTCTAGTGTCCACAGGACCTTTTTATTTGTTTCTGTTGCTTGAATCAACAGCTTCTCTCGCCATTGTCTGATGGCCTGTTCCACCATGCCATTGCTGAAAGTGGCACTTCTGCAATGGATATA